AGTGATATAGTCTAGTTAGCCACCATGAGTGAAGTGGTGGGAGTGATATAGTCTAGTTAGCCACCATGAGTGAAGTGGTGGAAGTTCTTACAGATATTTGATAGCTATGTGTTGAATGTATGGTCTGGTTAGCCCACGAGTGAAGTAATGCAAAAGTTTTTGAATTGGTTAGCTCACGGGTGAAGTGGTGCAAAACTTAGTGAATTCAGTAAAAGATTGAATTATAGTTGAATTGAACTATAGTCACAAATTAAGGAATAGTTGTTGAGGTGATTATATGTGAGTATAGTCCCACATCCGATAAGATAAGAAAGAGTGATGAATTTAAATAGGAGTTTGAGTCAATACCTTATAGCTATAGCTTTTGGGTTAAAATTGATTCTTATAAGTTCTGTTTAAGACCCATAAACTCTAGATTGGGCTTGATTTCTCCCCCAACAATGGTATCAGAGCTAAGACCATGGTCCAAAGAATTAAAAAAATAGATAATATGTGAAGCTTGAAGGTGTCGGGAGGATCCACGGATTCCCGTAGAAGTGATATAGTCTAGTTAGCCACCATGAGTGAAGTGGTGGAAGTTCTTACAGATATTTGATAGCTATGTGTTGAATGTATGGTCTGGTTAGCCCACGAGTGAAGTAATGCAAAAGTTTTTGAATTGGTTAGCTCACGGGTGAAGTGGTGCAAAACTTAGTGAATTTAGTAAAAGATTGAATTATAGTTGAATTGAACTATAGTCACAAATTAAGGAATAGTTGTTGAGGTGATTATATGTGAGTATAGTCACACATCCGATAAGATAAGAAAGAGTGATGAATTTAAATAGGAGTTTGAGTCAATACCTTATAGCTATAGCTTTTGGGTTAAAATTGATTCTTATAACTTCTGTTTAAGACCCATAAACTCTAGATTGGGCTTGATTTCTCCCCCAACAATGGTATCAGAGCTAAGACCATGGTCCAAAGAATTAAAAAAATAGATAATATGTGAAGCTTGAAGGTGTCGGGAGGATCCACGGATTCCCGTAGAAGTGATATAGTCTAGTTAGCCACCATGAGTGAAGTGGTGGGAGTGATATAGTCTTGGTCCAAAGAATTAAAAAAATAGATAATATGTGAAGCTTGAAGGTGTCGGGAGGATCCACGGATTCCCGTAGAAGTGATATAGTCTAGTTAGCCACCATGAGTGAAGTGGTGGGAGTGATATAGTCTAGTTAGCCACCATGAGTAAAGTGGTGGGAGTGATATAGTCTAGTTAGCCACCATGAGTGAAGTGGTGGAAGTTCTTACAGATATTTGATAGCTATGTGTTGAATGTATGGTCTGGTTAGCCCACGAGTGAAGTGATGCAAAAGTTTATGAATTGGTTAGCTCACGAGTGAAGTGGTGCAAAACTTAGTGAATTCAGTAAAAGATTGAATTATAGTTGAATTGAACTATAGTCACAAATTAAGGAATAGTTGTTGAGGTGATTAATATGTGAGTATAGTCCCACATCGGATAAGATAAGAAAGAGTGATGAATTTAAATAGGAGTTTGAGTCAATACCTTATATCTATAGCTTTTGGGTTAAAATTGATTCCTAACTTTTGTTTAAGGCCCATCAACTCTAGATTGGGTCTGATTTCTCCTACAACATAGCTAATAATTAGCTTAGTGAATCGATAGATCTAAGAATATAGTTGATTCTCTACCTTCATATTCTTATGCTCAATTTTGAGGATATTAATATATGAGTATAGTCGCACTATCGGATAGGATAAGAACTAGTTATAAGTTTAAAATAGGAGTTGTGACTAATACCTAGTAGCTATAACTTTTAGGTAAATTTTTTTTGTCTCTAGCGTCTGTTTAAAGCCCATTAGCTCTAGATTGGGCTAGATTCTCCCCCAACAAATAATATCAAAGCTACGGTTATGATTGAAGTATTTAAAAAAACGAAGTCTGATGTGAAGCAGAAATGTCGAGAGAACCTATGGGTGCCCATAGTAGTGATATACTATGGTTAGCCACTGTAAGTGAAATGGTGGAAGATCCTACGGATGTTTGATAGCTATGTGCTGAATGCATGATATAGTTAGCTCACGAGTAAAGTGGTGCAAAAAGCTAGTGAATTGGTTAGCTCATGAGTAAAATGGTGCAAAGAGTTAGTAAATCCCATGAAAGGTTAAGTGTAGTTGAGGTTAGTAATATGTGAGTATAGTCTCAACTCGAACAGAATAAGAGTTATAGGTTTAAACTAGGAGTTAGGATCGCTATCTAGTAGATATACTTTTTTGGTTTAATTTGGTTCCTAGCCTCCATTTCAAGCGCATCAACTCCCCGATTCTCCCCCACCACTCAATTTAAACAATTAGATATTAAAATGTGAAACGTTTATTGTGGGATCGTAACTATATATTTATATGTTTTAAATTTCCAAATATCTCTCAGACGTTGAAGGTCTAGACGTCTAGTTTTAGTGGGCTTGAAATAGAAGAGAATGAAGACACATTTCCAACTCATTTTTTTAGTACTCCTAGTCCTCGGTCAGAGGGGCTGTTTGTTTCGTTTCCCCCAGAATTCAAAACCCATTTTTCTTTACTTTTTCACTTTCCTCCACTTTCCAAAACCCACTTTTCTTCACTTTCTCCACTTTCCTCCAATAATATTGTGACAACTCATCCCATCCCATTTCATTTCATACTTTTAAAAATAAACAAAACACAAGAAATGAGTCACATCAATCAACTCATCTAACTCACTTTTCCCCACTTTTCTTCATTTTCTATCATCTTTAAAAATTACTCACATCATCCAATAATATGGTGACAACTCATCACATCTCATTAAAATTTCCTTCCATCACTTTCCTCCAAAAAATTTTGTAAAATGATTTTCCTAAGTATGTGTCACATCATCCAATAATATAATGACAACTCATCTCATCTCATCTATTTTCCCCCACTTTTAAGAATGAACCAAACACAAGAAAAGAACCTAAACAAGGAAAGTGAAGGAACACATCAAAAATTACTCACATCAACCAATAATATGGTGACACCTCATTTTCTCCTCCACTTTCGGTTATAGCTTTGACGAACCAAACCTCTGAAAGTGGAGGAAAACATAAAAATTCCCTTTCTTTTCCCCCACTTTCCCCCACTTGCGGTCTTTTTTAGCGAAACAAACAGGCTCTAATTGCAGGCATAGGCAGAATCAATACCCCAGCGTCTTTTCCCGCCAAAAAAATTCCCTGATTCCAAACCCGAGGATTACTCGCCTCCCTAAATTCCCGCCGCCTCTTAATCTTCCTCCATTCCCCAGTCTCCTCTATATCTCTTTCTCTGTGAAGCCTAAACTCTATACATAACCCTAACACTAACTGAAAATAGTGCTCCAATGGGCCCCTCTCGCCGCCTCTCCAGCAACGGCCGCTCCCCTCTCGTCCGCAAACAGAGCCAGATCACCACCTTCTTCTCCCCAGGCAAAAACCCCACAGATTCCCCGTGCCCAAAACCTAACCCTAGCCCTAATCCCAATTCCTCAACCGAGAAATCGAAGAAAACCCCTTTGCTCATACCTTCACCTACCAAGCCCAACCCTAAGGCTCCTCCGTCCACCACCGAAAAGAAATCTTTTTCCGAAGATGTGGTTGGAAAAAAGATTAGCGTTTTCTGGCCACTTGATAAAACTTGGTATGATGGGCATGTTAAATCTTTTAATAAGCTCACTGGAAAGCATTTGATCCAGTATGAAGATGCTGAGGAGGAGGTTCTTGATCTTGAGAAGGAGAAGATTGAGTGGGTCAAAGAGGAGGCACCGAGAAAGCTCCGGAGGTTGAAGAGGGTGTCAAGCTCTCCAGTGCCGGAAACGGAAATAGTGAGGGATGGTGTTAATGTAGATGATGATGATGACGGTGAGGATGAGGATTGGGGAAAGGGAGTCGGGGAACATGTTGATAATGATGATTCTAAGGAAGTGGAACTGGAGGAAGAAATTGAGGAGGAAAATGAAAAATCAGCTGCGAAGAGATCTGGAAAGAGGAGTTCTTCTTCTGTTGGATCAGGGAAGAGGAAGAAAGTTGACGTCGAGAAGTTGGGCTGCAGTAAGAAGTTTAGATTTGATGGAGATGGAGAGGGTCCGGGAGATGGGCAGAAGGGTGGTTCTTTGGTAACTCCAATGAGCAAAAGCAGATATTCTACTGTCTTAACTACCAAAGGTAATTAAGTGATGGCGAGTTTATGTATTGCACTTATTACAATACACTGAAGTTTCATTCTTCAATTCTATACAGGGATTTTATAATTTTATATTGTATCCAATATGATAGTAATTGTTAAGAGGTGATCCAGAGTTTAACTTTGCATATGACTGGTGAGACTGAGCAGATGTTGATGAGTATTGTTGTTGTTGGAGTGTATTTAATAAACATTTGTCGTTTCATTTTTATGCGCAAACCTGTTCTACTATATATCGTTCTGGCTCCCTGTATTGTGGTCTATTGAGACTGTCATATAATATTAAGATGAGAAATATGGGAATGCTTGGTACCAAGCACAAAAATTATGTTTGGTAGTGATGTGACATATCATCCTCCACTCATTCAAATGGAGGGACCACATTCACATGGGTTGAATATGGTCCCCCCAATTGAATGAGTGGATGAGAATGAGACACCTCATTACCAAGCATAACTTTTTGTGCTTGGTACCAAGCATACTCATATTTCTCATATA